GTATTTTGACTCTGGGGATGTGAGGGGATAAAGCAGAGAGAACAAAATGCCTTCAGATGTGTTAGTAAAGATGACTCAATTCAGTTTGTGGAATTCTGTGCATGTAATCTGCCTCTGGGAGTCAAGGAGATGCTGACAAGAATAACATTTGGGGTCTAGAGTGGTTGGTGCTCCCAACTCCCCTTTGGGTGCAAAGTGAAAGAGGTGACCTTGTTATTCCATCACGCTGGTGTCTGTGTGGGCCCTTCTGGGGGTTCTCATGCTGAACAGGCCCTGGGCACTGAGTAGTGGGGCCTTCACTCACCTCATCTCCTTCTTCCCTGAAAAAAGCTGGGGGCACAGTGTGGAGCCCTCCCTCCTTGGCACTGAAACACTTGGACACAGGGCCACGGACATGTATCTCTCTGCACATATCTGTAACAAAAGTCTGATCAATGGTTGTTGAGTGTGTGAGAGAGTGTTGTGGCTGGAAACTGACTCGTAATTCAAACCCTTTTGGCTGCTGTGGGCAGAGAGTACAGGCAGCAGTCTCGTTCTCACCAGTTGGGGGTCACTAATACCTCTTTAGGTAGAATACTTCCTTTTGGGGCCATTGAGTCGACACCTCAAATGTCTGTTTTGGTTTTTTTTTGAGGTGGAGTCTCATTCTGTCACCCAGGCTGGAGTGCAGTGGCATGCTTATGGCCACCGCAGCCTCAACCTCCTGGGCTCCGGTGATTCTTCTGCCTCAGCTTTCCAAGTATCTGGAACCACAGGAACATGCCACCACATTCCACTAATTTTTTTATTTATTGTAGAGACGAATTCTCACCAAGTTGCCCAGGCTGGTCTCGAATCCCTGTATTCAGGCAATCTTCTCACCCTGATCTCCCAAAGTGCCTGGGATTACAGGCTTGAACCACTGTGCCCAGCTGTTCAAATATCTTAAAAATCAGGAAACCTCGAAGCAGTAGCATGCACAAGCATGAGTTAGGTAAAGCCAGCCCAGTCTAGCAAAATGCCTGCTTGTGCTCTGCTTAAACCTGCCTTAAAAGCTCTTGGCCTACTTTTGTCTCCCCTCCCAGGGCCGAAGGAAGCAATATGGACTGTATGTTGTGACTTCTTTAGAGTCGACTGTGTGAAGGATGAAAGTACTGGAAAAAGCCTCTGGAGTTATAGGACAGGGCAAGGATGTATGCTTTAGCCTGATGATAAGAACACCCACAGCTGGGGCCAGCTGCCTCAGTAGGTTGAGAAACCATCTTTATTTAAGAACTGCCTGCTACCAGTGTCAATAAATAACTACCATGACAAGAAGTACCAGAGAGAAACAATAGGCCAGTGGGAGCAGGTCCATTTAACAAACATTGGGTCGGGTCTGTGGTCCGAGGGAGCCCTAGCACTTGCCAAGCTGTGAGCCTTTCTAAACTGTGCAGATCCTGGGTGAGTTGGCAGAGTCTTGGGGCCAAGGCAGGCTGCACCCTGTCAAGGGGCTCTAAAAAGGCCCCTGAGCCTGCCTGAAGCTCTGGGCAAAGCTGTCTGACCCATTTTGTTTCTCTTCAGTTTTCTTCTATCGTTCTGCCTTCCTGAAGCCTATGACCACATATATACAAGTCCATGAGGCATCTCAGCTGCCAGGTGCCTGTTTCCATGGAGCCCTTTGAAGGCCCTTAAGAAAATGCCCATCAAATTCCTCTTATGCTACTCCCAGGAGCCTCTTAGACAACGCTTTCATACCTACGATGAAGCCCAGGGTAGGCCTCCCCCATGGAGATAGAGTACCACCATTGTGCCGGTGAACACAGGTTCAAGGATACTGCTGTCTCTCCAACACAGTTGGCAGTCCCAGTCTGAGACCAGAAGAAAAGAGTCCTGCATAGCTGGGGAAGAGATAAAGGGAGTACAGCATTCTTAGCTGTCTTGGGTTCTTGCCCAGAGCACAGGTGGGAGGCATCATTCTTGAGACTGCACATGCTGAGAAAAGCACTGGGCCGTACATCAGTCCTGGTTGGACCTTCCCCTGAATGGCTTCTCCTAAGGCGCGGGACCGCAGCAGATGGGACCTCCAAGACTCTTCCTGGACTGACCACTTTTTGAATCTAAGAATCTCAGCCCTGGAGGGACACTTGTAGCATCTCCCAATCCTCCAGTCACTGCTTCACCTATCTTAGACTCCATGCCATCAGCTGCCAAAATTCCTCAAAGGTCCCTGAAAAAGAACCCTCTTCCTCATTCCAGAAGTTTGTTGTGATGTTTAACCTCAGTCTCACCTGTCGTAACCTTATCAAAAGAAAAAGACACTCCTTTCCCTCACCCCCATGACTGTGCCACTTCCTGATGCCATCTGTATCGTTTGCTGCCCTGATGAGAATAGGTAACCTGCTGTGCTGGCCCTGGGACTCCATCTGGAGAGAGCTGCCCTTCCCCTGAAGGCAGGTATTCATCTGAACTGAGAGCAACAAGGGCCACATGGCTGAGGCAAGGGAGACAGGGCGCTGTAGGCTGAGCAGAACAGAGAGCCCTTTCCTTGGACCTGGAGCAGGCAGCTGCAGATTATTTCTGTCCCTAGTCCTCAAGGCATTCACTGGCCAATAAACTGTGGGATAGAGTACTTGTTTGTGGCCTGGTGTGTGAGAAGAGAACCCAGAACTGAGTCACGACCACAGTGAGAGAGTCACACTCCAACTCCCCCTGCCCCTCTGAGCAGGGAAGACAGAAATCTGAGGACCCCTGGGCAGGAAGGGACTCTGAGAAGCCATCTAAGCTAGTCTTCTCCGAGCAAGCTCATGTACAAGCCACCCCAGCAAGAGCCTGCTCCCTTTTACAAGCCATTGTCCCCAAGTCATTGTCTGGCACACCTTAGCGCTTTACCTCAGTCTCAGGCTGTGAGAGCACCTCTGTTTTAGTATAGCTTATGCCTCCCCAAACAGATTCTGCCTGCACAGCAGTCAGGTTTTCCTGGGATTCAGTTTACCTGTTTAAAAACCCTTCCTGGGTCTCCCAGCAGGTCTGCCTTCCTCCCTTTTTTAGTGGAGGACCCCATTAGAATTAAGGTACTCAGTCACGAGTACCTTAATGTAGGTATCTTTTACCTGAAGCAACCTTAGGGGCTGCAGCTTCCACCTTCACTGGTTAGGTCTCAGGCCAAAGCAGCTTGTCCCCCAACTAGACACCTGTCCCCTGCTTCCCCTATCACACCCTGAGGCAGTGAAGATAAGAGAAACCTTGAAAAAAGGTTTCTTTCTGCATTCCCTTTCTGACAGAGTGTGGGGCACAGGCTGTATCATGGCCAGCAGAGGACCAGGAGGGATGCCAGGCCAAGTTCGGGCTCCCTGTAATGGAAGAATGGTCACCTAGCCGAGCCCCTAGCACCCTTGCTTGTGGGGGGTTGGGAACAGGCGAGGAGGATCTGACCAGCCAGCTCCAGGGAAGCTTGTCTTGAGCTGGGGGTGGGAGGTGCAGTGGGGGCTTGGTGGAGGCAGGGAGCAGGCATGGGAGCTTGCATTTTTATCAAGTTGTAGTGGGTAAACATCAACATAAACCTGCCCAGGAAAATAGAGCAGGACCTGAAAGTTTAAAAAACCATAACAAAATAGAGCTCTAACTGTAAACTATAGAACACAGATTCAGGGAGCTTTCGGGGCCATGTGCCCTCCAAGGTGCCTGTCCCGCTGCTCCCTGTGAGGGCCACCTGTCAGGGCCTGGGCTTTGGGGCTTCCTGGCTGTGCTGCCATTTTTGCCTGAATTCGGGGAATCTGCCCTTGCTTTGGCCTCTTTTCTTGGAGCAAGTGTGGAGGAACGGGGGGCTTCAAGTTAGCACTGTAAGTTGAGGTCACGGCAGAAGGTAGGCTTCAAAGGCAAAGAAAGACTAGATGCCTCCTGGAACCTGCGCAGTCAGCCATGCCAGTGGCTCTGATCACCAACTTGAACCTTCCTCTCCATAGACAGAGGAAGAGCCTTGAACAGGAAGGTGGGAGACTCGTTCTTACCCCAGCCCGTCCCATTGCTTACAGGCTGTGTGACCACAGTAAGTCCCTAGCCCTCTCTGGACCACTTCCCTTTCCTCATCGGTAAAGTGAGGGGCTTGGACAAGCTGAACTCTAAGGCCTCTTCCAGCTCTGACGTTCTGTGACTGGTAGTATACCCAGAGCTCAAAATAGGATGGCCCATTTATTAACCCCTTTTCTTCTGGAGAAATGCAAAAGAGCAGTCCAAGGCAGTTCTGGGGAGCGGGTCTGACCTGGTGGTCCCAGGTATTCAGCAGGCAGGGCCACATTTACCCTCTGGCCTCCTCAAAAGCCTCCTGGTTCCAGGACAGAAAGAGTTAATGCTGCATTACTCTCCCAGGTACCAGTGAGTCAGTGCAGGGAGCAGAGTTGGCCTGTGGGGGTTGGGCATGTGGGTCTGCAGGCAGAACTGGAGGAAGAGGTGGGCGCAGGACTGGCCGTCTCCTGCCCAAACTCTGGAGGGGCTATGCAGAATGAGTCTTGGTGGGGTGGGGGCCTCCCAAGACAAGCCCTTTAGTCACCCAGCCACCTGAAGTGGCTCTGTCATGTTGGGGTGACAGGGGCGGGTTGGCAGTGTTGTTGGCTGAGAGGGTAACGTCACCTGGATCGTGACTGTCTTGGACCAAGGTTGGTGCCCCTTCCCACGAGGTGTCTCCACCTCTCAACCTTTTCAGTTCCCACCCCTAGCAACCTGGGGTATCATCCCCCAAAGCTGAAAGGACTCAGGAGCCCAGCCTCAGGGTTCTCAGCCACCTGGGCAGGCTGGGGCCCCTAGGGAGTCGTTGAGGACAGTGTCAGGGTCCAGCCGTGCCGCTCCTCAAGAGGAGAAAGTAGGAGAGTTCTTGGTCCCAGAGCTTGTCCCTCTCCTGAGACTGGAGGATGTTGATGTTTACGCTGTGTCCTACTTCTTCCGCCCGATTGTGTCTGGTGTTCCTGTGGGGCCAAGGACTCCATCTCAAGTGGCGGAGTTCATATGTGGTCCCAGAGTGCCATCTCTCCGAGGTGAAGATACATGTTTAAAACCCCCTTCTTCCCATAGGCCTGTTCCTTCCATCCAGGCTCCCTGGAGGGCCCAGGCATAGGGTTCAGTATCATCTGGAAGTTACTGCCTCTTGATTTAAAGAAAAAAAACCTTGTGTGGATTCTATCCTGTGGCAGAATATAAAATATTCTGCCTCCTACAAAAAGGGCACTGTTTAAAGTAGGTATTTAAAACCAGCCATTCTCTGGCACAGTGTCGGGCCACCTTGGCAGCACGAAGGGGCTGGGGCCAGCTGGCTGCATCCATCAGAGATGGGTGTCCAGCTGCGGTGCAGAGGAAGAGGCACGGTGATCAGAGCTCCAGGGAGCCTATGAGGATCAGCATCGCCATGGAGTGGGAAAAGACGGTGCCAGGATCTGGCGCTGGGCAGACTGCTGAGTTCTCTACCATCATGCTTGTGCCTGAAAACAGCCAGCAGAAAGGAGGAGGCTGAGTCAGCTGGGCCCAAGGCCACCCCAGCCCCCCGCCCTCGTGACAGGTTCTAGGCCTTTCCTAAGGAGATTCACAGAGGGCCAGCTGCAGGCCCGGGAGAGAGATGGCTGGGTCCTCTCAGCTCCCTACAGCGTTTTGTAGGACCTTTGCTTTTGCTCGCTGGTCTTCAGACTCCCTCTGTGTCCCATAAGAAGTGCACACTCCCCTCCCTAGCCCCTCCCTAGCCCTTAGGAATATTTTGGGGGGTAGGTAGAAGGGCAGTGGCAGGGGCAATTCTAGGACTACTTTGCACTCGGTCCTGCCTGCCTTACACCCTCTCTTGGAGTCTAGGTTAGAGCAGGCTTGAGTGGGGGGGAATGATCCCTTCTCCAGGCCTCTGGGTGGACCCTGATGCTCTTGGGAGATAAGGATGGGGAGAGGCAGCACCTCCATTCCTCACGATGTGGACTTCTGCCGGGATCCCATCCCCTCCAGGCCCTGTGGTCCGAATCTGTACCAGGGCATGGCCAATGTCCTCAGGAACTGGAATTTCAATCCAGTTTTTGCCAGTGAGGTGGAGCGTGGGAGCTGGGTGTAGGTCGTTCTGGTACAGCATCTGCAGGAAGGAGGTTTCCAGGTGGAGTTTGCTTGCTTCCTCTCCCTCTTTTGAGTCAGGGTCTCATTCTGTCGCCTAGACTGGAGTGCAGTGGCATGATCATAGCTCACCACAGCCTCGAACTCCTGAGCCAAAGGGATCCTTCCTCCTCAGCCTCCCAACCATCTGGGACCATAGGTGTGTGCCACTACTCCTGGCTCATTTTATTGTTTATTTTTTTTAGAGATAAAGTCTCACTATGTTGCCCAGGCTGGTCTTGAACTCCTGGGTTCAAGTGATCTTCCCACCTTGACCTCCCAAAGTGCTGGGATTACAGATGTGAGCCACCACACTTGACCAACCAGGTGGAGTTTCCTTACACCAGGGCTGATCCTTCTGTCTTCCCTAGCTTTGGACATTGGGAGGAGCCCTGATAGCACTGGGTCCTGAGGCCCAACCTCCTGAGCCCTCCAGTTTGCCACTGGCCAGTTTCTCACTGGTGGGAGGACAGCTTGCAAGTAGCTTAACTGTTTTTGTAGACTCCTTAGGCTAGGAGGACCTCTGACTCCAAACAGTCCATCGCTGCCCCTGTCTCTCCATCGTGAACCCTGTCTCTCCACAGTGATACTATCTGCCCTGTATTTATAGTTTCTATTATACATTACCCAGAGAATCAGTCATGAACTTCATGCCTGTCACGGTCACCAACCCTTTGCTTATTTCTTGCAGGGCCCTCTTGCTGTAAATTGCAGCTCCCTGTGTTCACTGGAAAGACAGAGGAGCTGCTCCTTCCCATTCCACGCCCTTCCTCACCTTATAGCCAGTGACTGCAGACTCATTTCGCAGAGGGACCACGGGATCCCACTTAATGCTCAGGCTGGAGCTTGAGAAGGTCCAGGAGATGTTGCCAGGTGGTCGCTGCGGAGCTGCCAGGGAGTGAGAATGGGGGAGACATCCAAGTGTTTCTCTGCCCTCTGCCGCCCCTCACCTTTAGCCCTCCCCTTTCTGAATGTCTGTCTATAGCAGTTATACCCAGAACACTCTGTCACTGCTGCCTAAGAAACAAAGCCCATGAAAATCCAGTTTTTGCCAGTGAGGTGGAGGCTGAGGAAGAGAGGGTACATCAGAGGCTGTGAATCCTACCTACTTTCTTCTGTCAGGCTCACCGCCTAATTCCTGTCCAGGGCTTGTGGGCTACAGTATTTGTCTTATCCTTAGGGAACAAGTGATCCTGGAGGCATCCACCCAACACATACCCCACCATCAGCCCAGGCAGACAGACTCACGGGATTTCATGGTTGTGGCGTTGGCGGAAGGGCTGGCAGGCCCAGTGCCGGCCCGGTTGTAGGCCCGCACGGTCACATGGTACTTGGTGTTGGGATGCAGGCCAGTGACTCGGGCACTGTTGTCCAGCCCTGCCGTCCTGACTCGGTCAGCGGCGGCTTCTTTGTCCCCGGCTTTCCAGTAGCGGATCTGAAGGGGACGGAGGTACCTGAGGGTCAGTGGTCAAACCTAGAATCTCAGAGCTGCCCTGGCCCCCTACATTCTGTTTCTCTCTTGCTCACCCTGGCCTTTAACACAGCCTCGGGTCTCAGAACTTGGACTCTAGATCATGAGCATCTAGAGCAGGGCTCTATAGGTGGGTGTGAGTCCAAGGAATGTGCTCGAGACACAGGCTGGGAGAGGGAGCTGGTGGCCACAGGCCCACCCCAGCACTGGCCTGCTGGAACCTAGCCTCATGTCATTAACTCAGGGATTACTGTGGGAATCCCGCTACGGGATAGGAAATGTGTATTCATCCTGCAAAGTAGCCCTTTGCCCCCAGCAAGCTTATAAAGGCTGCCCAATAAATGCAGACCCATTTGAATTGAAGCCACAATATTGAGCCTGTGAAATAGTCTTCCGCATCAAGGGCAGAGTTTGGAATTATCTCCCCGTGGCTCGCCTAAGCTATCGTGCACAGATCTGGAGCTGATTCTGCTGGAAGGAATGTACACTATCCCTGGTAGGCCCAGCCCGATGCTTCTCCCTCAGGCAATGGCAATTCTTGCTTTTCCTTCTTTCCCTCCCTCCTGCTTCCTCTTACTTTCCAGCTACTCCACAGGTACCCCTGTGTGGAGTCACCAGTGGGCCCAGAGTCACCAGGGACAGAACGAGCAACAGTACACAGAGGGGCTCATGCTGTTATGTTCTCTGTGCAGCCCCGGGGAAGCCAGGCCGAACGGGCTCTGGCATGAAAGGGAAGGCCGTGCCCCTTCCCAGAGCCTGCTCCTCCTCCTCTGGCCTCCCAGCTTTCAGGGCCAGCTCTAGCTAAGCATTCACTTCAAGGCTGCCTGCCGGTCCGTCTTCCCCCTTGGGCGTCAGCTAGAATTTGGACTCAGCTCTTCCAGTTTTAAAGCCCATCATCTTTCCTTTGCATCACAGCTGTCTTTGTGCTCATCAACTCTTGGGATACTAGAATAAAGGCATCTCTGCCGGGCTCGGTGGCTCAGCCTGTAATCCCGCGCCTTTGGGAGGCTGAGGTGAGCGGATTGCCTGAGCCTGCGGGTTTGAGACCCGCCTGGGCAACTTGGCGAGACCTCATCTCTACAATAAATCAAAAAATTAGCCGGGCGTGGTAACGTGTGCCTGTAGTTCCAGCTACTTGGAAGGCTGAGGCGGAAGGATCGCCGGAGCCCAGCAGGTCGAGGCTGCGGTGGCCGGGAGCAGCCACTGCACTCCAGTCTGGGCGACAGAGTGAGACTCCAACTCAAAAAAAAGAAAGAATAAAGACATCCCCTCCCAAGCCCACATTCAACTCTCCAAGAAGTTCAAGGTCAATCAGAGAAAAGAGGGTCTTGGGAAGTTTGCAGCCACAGTCCTGCACAGACTAGGTGCTGGGTTTGCCATGTCAGTGAATGAGTGATGATTCCAGGTGGAACAGCTAGTGAGCTGAGTGGTCCCCACCTGTCCTTAAAGCCCCAGCACCCTTCCCTCTCCGGCCCCAGGCTGGTGCTCACCTCATACCCCAGGAGGATACCATTCGTGTCCTGCTGCACGGGTTCCCAGGTCACGTTCATCTCTGAGGATGAGATCCCCTTGGCCCAGACCTTGGAGGGGACCACCCTGGGCTCTGGGGACCGATACAGAATGGGTTTGGATTCCCAGGGCCTCCCTGTGTCCTACAGAGCAGCCCCCGATCGGGAAGGCCTTTGCTTAAGACTTTGGAGGAGAGCCCACTGCCCAGGGTGAAGGTCGAGTGGGACCCCCAGAGGATGCCCAGGGCTCACTTCTCTTCCCAGGGAGCCTCCCTCCTCCTTCCCCGGCCCGAGGGGGGACAAGGCAGCAACGGCCAGAAGTGAGGCCAGTGGCTTAGAGCCCGAGTATCCTTCCTACTGCCTGCTGCTGAGCTGGGGGGTGAGTAGCATTCTGCCCACCCTCTACCCCTGGGCCAGAGGCTGGGGTGGGGATGTGGGGCGACCCGGGGCGGCCCACCTTCCTCGGCCGAGTACACGAGCGCAGTGAGGCTCTCGGGCCCATCCCCACGGCGGTTGTAGCTGCGGATCTTGACCTCAAAGGGCGTGTAGGGCCGGACGCTCTCATTGCTGTAGACGAAGTACTGGGCGTCGGCGCCGAGCACCCGGGCGGTCTGCCAGCGGGTGCTGCCCTGCCTGCGGAAGGACAGCAGGTAGCCGAAGCCGTCTCCGTTCTGGTACTCCCGGGATATGGGCTGAGAGGCAAGAGCGTGGCATGGGCGAAGGGCCGCGGCGCGTTTCCCTGCCCGTCCCCCGGCCTCCCTCGAGCTTTGTCGCCTGTGCCTGCGAGGCTTCATCCTGCGGTGGATTCGCGAGAGGGGCACAGGTGCAAATGGGAGGGGAGAGGAAGGGGACGGCTTTTGAGCCGGGTGCTTTCGGCACACTGCTCTGGTGGGAGATGGAAAGGGGGCAGGGGGAGGAGGAGGCATCTGTCCCCGCCAGCTTACCGTCCAGTTGACGATGAGCTCTCCAGGGGCTCCGCCTCCTCCACTGAGTCCTGAGGGTGCCACTGAGGGCGCTGTCAGGAGCCAGGGGACACAGAGGTGGCTTGTTAATGGGCGACGAGGGAACACAACCCTGAGTCTTGCCTGTGGAGCATCCTCCGGTGGGGGCATCCCTTCCCGTGGGCCCTGGTTTTCTCCTCCAACAATCCCTCCAGGCATTGGCTCCGGAACCAGGCAGGCCTGAGACCAAAGCCCATCTCTGCCACTTACTGGCTGTGTTTCCTTGGGCGAGTGACTTAACCTCTCTGAGCCTCTCTTCTCCTCTCCAGGAGCATCATCATGTTTCTCTCAAAGGCCGTAAGGAGGATGAATTAAACAAGACAGTGGCTAGCATATAGTAGATGGTCCATACCCCTGCTGGCTTAAATTAAATCACACTGACCAATCCTAGTTTGCTTTAAATTAAGGGGGGATTAAATAACCCAGTAGTTAGTTAATATAAAAAAATTTCTCTGGGACTCCAGGGTGTTTTGTTACTATTTTTCTTCTTGTGGCAGATTTAATTTGCTAATTGTCTCTAGTATTTTTTCTTGTCTTTTCTTGTCTCTAGTATTAAACAGTACTGATGGCCAGGCTTGGTGGCTCAGCCTGTAATTCCAGCACTTTGGGAGGCCGAGGTGAGTGGATTGCCTGAGCCCGCGGGTTCGAGACCTGCCTGGGCAACTTGGCGAGACCTCATCTCTACAATAAATCAAAAGTTAGCTGGGCATGGTAGCACGCGCCTGTAGTTCCAGCTACTTGGAAGGCTGAGGCGGAAGGATCGCCAGAGCCCAGCAGGTCGAGGCTGCGGTGGCCAGGAGCGGCCACTGCACTCCAGTCTGGGTGACAGAGTGAGACTCCAACTCAAAAAATAAAATAAAATAAACAGTACTGATATTAAAACAAAAATCTATTTCATCAGCTCACACAACTTGGTCAGGAATAACTTGGCCGGGGGTCAAAATATTTCTGCAGAGAATCTGGCAATTGGAGACTTTTCACCTGGTTCTGATGACAATATCTCAAGGCCTTGCAAGGGGTACTTAAGCACATTGCTCATGTGATCCTGTGAGGTGGGCGTTATTATTGCCCTTTTTAGGGTGGAAGGACTGAGGCCCAGAGCAGTTAATCAACTTGCTTAAGGTCACACAGCTAATATGCGGCACGGCTAGAATTTGGACTCAGCTCTTCCAGTTTTAAAGCCCATTTATCTTTCCTTTGCATCACAGCTGTCTTTGTGCTCATCAACTCTTGGGATACTAGAATAAAGGAGTGTCCTTCCAACCCCACATTTAACTCTCCAAGAAGTTCAAGGTCAAAGAAAGTGCTCCCTCTGGAATTTCTTACTCAGGAGAGGTACCAGCTAAAAATTCCAGAAACAGAGCCTGGTGAGTCAGCCTGGGGCATGCACGAGGACATGTTTCAGGGAGATAAGAAGACAGACCCTCAATGCACAGCCGGTGTGACAGGGGAGGCAGGGTCTTGATTCTATGCTGCCCTCCCAGGATCTCAGGGCTGTGTGCCTGACCCTCACCTAGGGCTCAGAGGCTGGGGAGGAGCGTCTCAACAGATGCTGATTGGGGCCTCTGCTCCCCCTCCTAGGTTTTCTCTTTCCTTCTTTCCCCACTTAGGTTCTGACACCCACACACCTTTCTTTTGCTGAGGGTTGTGGGCAGATTATTCATTCCTCTTGCTCCCAAAGAAACCATCTAAAAAAGGGCTTGGAGACACTTTCTGCTTCCTGATCCCCCTGCACAACACACACACACACACACACACACACACACACACACACACACACACACACCTTCCGCATTAACTGATTTCTGTAGCTCCTGCCCTTCCAACACACACACACACACACACACACACACACACACACACACACACACACACACCTTCCGCGTTAACTGATTTCTGTAGCTCCTGCCCTTCCAGGAGGACCAGGATCTGCCCACCACCCCATGGTCCTGGGTTCAAGTCCAAGTTCTGTCAGTTTGACCCTTCCCTTCTCTAAACTTTGGTTTTTATATTTTAAAAAATTAAACTTAAAAAAATATATAGCTGGGCATGGTGACTCACGCCTATAATCCCAACACTTTGGGAGGCCGAGGTGAGAGGATCACCTGAACCCACAGGCTTAAGACCAGCCTGGGTAATTTGGTGAGACCGCATCTCTACAACAAATAAAAAAAATTAGCTGGGCATGGTGGTGCATGCCTGTAGTTCCAGCTTCTTGGAAGGCTGAGGTGGAAGGATCGCCTGAGCCCAGCAGGTCGAGGCTATGGTGGCTGTGAGCATGCCACTGCACTCCAGTCTGGGTGACAGAGTGAGACTCCATCTCAAAAAAAGAAAAAGAAAAAAAAAAAAAAAAAAAAATATATATATATATAGATTCACAGGCAGTTGTAAGGTTGACCAGTTGTTTTTAAATGAGGAGTTTGAACTAGCTGGCTCATCCATGCAGGGGCCCTGGTCCCAACTTGGTGTTCCTTTTGTCAGAGGGTCCAAAGCCTGATGAGCAGGGGTGGAACTCAGAGAAATTCCTGCTCGCTGGGGGCTCCCTAAGGTGGGAGCAGGGTCTCCGCCCTGATGAGAGTTCTCTTTTGGGACAGCTAGGACTCTGACCTGCTTCCTTGGTCCGGATTTTGCTGGAGGGCCCACTGGGCTCCCCAGTGCCCAGGATGTTGCTGGCCACGACCCGGAATTCATAGTCCATCCAGGGCGTGAGGCCCAGCACCTGGGCGGTCTCAGCATTGCCCTCGATGTTGGCAGGATCTGCAAGGCACCAGGAGTCAGTGCTTCAGCATGTGCCTGCTCATCTGGATGCAGAGGGCAGGCATTGGGCCTGAATGGCCACAGCCCGCATTATGGCACTTGCCATACTTTAAGCGTTTACTACCTCTTGTAGAAACGACTGAAAAACGAGTCAACTTCCCCATCTTGGTGCCTTTGCGAATGCTGTGTGTACCCTGCACCCCCGCAAATACTTTCATTGCTCTAGGAATAATTCTGCCAGTTCTTCAAGGGCACACACTAAGCGCTGCCTCCTCCAACCCTGGCCACTCGCCTATTTGCTTCGCGACTGTCTCCCCTCCCGCCTGGGTGCTCCCTGCTGGCTGAGGGCACAGCTTGTCCCTCTTTGAAGCTTGGGGTACGGCCCTGGCTCTCTGACCCCTGACCCCCAGTCTCCGGCTCCTGTTACCTCCCACACCCTGCCAGACCACACCGACCCGGGTGGGGCCTTACACTTACTGGTCCGAACCTGCTTCCACTTCCCTGCAGGTGGACTGCGAGCTTGCAGGGTGTACTTGGCAATGGGGCTATGGTTGTCGAAGCCACGGCTCCAGCTGAGCTGGACAGTGGTTTCGCCGATGTCCCTCATGACCACACCTCCGGGGGGACCAGGCGGACCTGCACCAGGAAGTCAGAGTGCAGTGGGTCAGAATTGGGCGGATGCAAATTTGAGTCAACTTTCTCCAGGTTAGGCTTGGGCTGGTGCAGTACCAAGACAGGACCGCAGAGGGCGCAGCGAACACACAGCCGTGGGAGGGTCTGGGATGAGGGCAGTGAGTGACCAATGCCGTTTGTGTGGTGGGAGGGACGTGTCTCAAGACTGGGGGGCTCACGGAGGTCAACGGACAGAGGGGTGTATAGCACTAGGCTTCCCAGTGCCAGGCTTTAGCAACTCCCGGGAAGAGATCTGATGGAGGTGCTCAGCAGGGTACTCCTGTATTGGGATGTGTTTAAGAGTGGATTACAACTTTTTTTTAAACACAGGGTCTCACTCTGTCACCCAGACTGGAGTGCAGTGGTGCGATCATAGCTCACGGCAGCCTCCACCTCTTGGCCTCAAGGGACCCTCCCACCTCAGCCTCTGGAGTAGCTAGGGCTACAGGTATGCACCACCACTCCTGGCTAGTTTTTAAATTATTTTTTGTAGATACAGGGCCTCGCTGTGTTGTTCAGGCTGGTGTTGAACTCCTGGCCTCAAGTGATCTTTCTGCCTCAGCCTCCTAAAGTCCTGGGCTTACAGATGTGAACTGCTGTGCCCAGCCAGGAGAGGAGTTTTTAAAGTTTGACTTTGGAAGGAAAAAATTCTACTCATTTAGGACCTGTGAAGAGCCATGGGAGATATACAGTTCAGTGGGCTTCTGGCAGAAGGCCTTCCCACAGCGATCAGGGAGGGAAGGGAAATGAGCAGAGTGGGTCAGAACAGTCCAGTGGGCCCCTGAGGAGCTAGGGTGAGGACAGGGGGGGAAACCCCATCACCTCGGACCAGGACCGTGGCCTCCTTGGATGCGCTGTCCACCACCGTCTGGGCCATGCACGTGTACTTCCCCCCGTGGCGCAGCTGGGCATTCAGGATGGTCAAGTCTCCCACAGTCTCCTTCTGTACACAGGGGACAGTAGAGGCGGCAGGTCAGAGGAGGCGGCCCTGGCTAGTGCGGGGGGCCCTGAGACACGAGGCAGCAAGTGGGAGTCCCTCACTCCATGACATCCATGGGCCCCTCTGTGTCTCAGTTTTCCTGTCTGTTCAATGGGAGGAATCAGCTACTCCTCCCTCGGTACTCCTGGACACTAAGCAACATGGTTTGCTTCAAAAGACAATGATAGTCCAAGTTGATCATGTCATTTGCACAGGGGACAGGAGAACGGAAGCGGGAGGAGTCTTGTTGGGTGCCTAAAGTTCCAGGCTTGTCCCTAACCCTATCCTAAACACTTGGTTCCTGGCTATTAATCCAAGGGTGAGCTTGCTAGGCATGGGTCTGAGGGAATGAGGAAGGGCTGTGGGGGCTTGTAGGTGGCATCAGCTAAGGACATCGTGGGTCCCGTCTGTCTGGAAGGAAGGGAGAGCCATGGGGTGTCTGGCCTCAGGCCTCACCACACTGGCCCTCCGGTAGTGCCCCCCGGGCTTATCCAAGTCGATGGGGAAGTCGTCCAGGGTCCAGGTGAAGGTGAGGTCCATGGTGGGGTCGTGGGAGGCGTGGCACTGTAGGGTCAGGTTGTCACCCAAGTTGATGTCGGCACTCGAGGGTGCTAGTGTGATCTTGGTCGCATCTGCTGAGAAAAACAAGGCCCCTGGGTGGAGAGGGAAGGAAATAGGCCCAGGCAGGAGCCGCAGGACACAGCGAGAGGCTCTGCCCTAAGAGAAGAGGCGGTGTGACCAACAGATGGGGCTCCTGACCCCTCAGCACCTCATGAGTGTGTGGCAGGCAGGGAGGCATGGTCAGATTGTGGTGTTTTTTTTTTCTCTGAGTCAAAAACTCACTCTGCCGCCCTGGCTGCCATGCAATAGCACGATCATGGCTCACTGCAGCCTCAACCTCCTGGGCTCAGGCATCCTTCCACCTCAGTCTCCCGAGTAGCTGGGAATACAGGCCCATGCCACCATGCCTGGCTAATTTTTAAATGTTTTTTTGTAGAGGTGAGATCTGCCTATGTTGCCTAGGCTGGTCTCAAACTCCTGGGCTCAAGCATTCCTCCCGCCTCGGCCTCCCAAAGTGCTGGGATTACAGATGTGAGCCACCATGCCCAGCCCTGACAAGAGTTTTGATGGTGGCCAGAGGGTGGTCTCAAGTGAAACTGAATCCTGAATCTTGAACACCAAACACCAAGCAATATGGGGACACAGGAGCAGGACGGTGGAGAGGATGGCACTCTGGGGTGGTCAAGCCACCGGCCTTATCAAGCCACAGCTCTCACCTCGCACAGAGAGGATCCCAGTGCTGTTGGCTTTGCCCATGAAGTTCTCAGCAAAGCAGGTGTATTTGCCTTCATCTGACCGGCTGATGTTTCTTATGATCAGGGTGCCATCTGGAGTCACAGTCACTCTGCAGCAAGAACAAAGCAGATCTGGCCAACCCAGGGACACACTATCATCCCAGGAAGGAGACAAGCCCCATGAAGAGAAGGAAGAGGAGCAGGCATTGCTCGGAGTGGGGGGTGGGTGCTACCTGCTGCTGTTGACCAAAATCTCCGTGCCTTTGCTCCAGAGCACCACGGCCTTCGGAGCTGCCCGGGGCTGGCAGGGGATGAGGATCTCTCCCCCACGGGCCGCGGGGATCAGACGCCTCACGGGATTCAGCCTGAAGTCAGGGGCAAGCGCTGGAAGGGACAAGGAGGGCCACACAGCTACCCTTGACTAGGATGCCACCTGGCCTACCTCCGAGGCCCACCCCCAAGTGACTCCCAGCCCCTTTCCATCACCCATGGCTATCCCTCTGGCCCAGGCCACCAGGTCTCCTGCCAGGTCTGTTGCCAAACCCCCAGTTGGTCTACTACTAGCTCTGGCTGGCATTTCCCGGGCCCTGCGTATGACACGCCCTTCATGCTCTCCCTCTCTCATCTCACTGACCCCTCACAACAGACCAGGAGGGCAGGACTATCACTGCCCATGTTTTATAAATCAGGAACCTGAAGACACAGAGAAACTGAGTCACTTGCCAACGCTCACACAGCTGAAGGGGCTGGAGTCAACACAGATCTGATTGATTTGACTGTACTTTTTTTCACTGTGGCGGGTGTTTACTCTGTGGAACATGGAATGAGTCAGAGACTCTGTCCGTTGTGTCTAGCCTCTCACCTTCTTCCTTAACTCTCTGAGCTCTCCTACTCAGAAGCTGGGGAACACCAAGGAAAACTGCCATGGAGGGGTGTGTTTAGAAATGCCTAAACTTGGGACCCCTACAGCTCCGGCTGCATGCCCTCGTGGACGGCCCGGCCCGGCTCCCCCCATCCCCCCACCCTTACCCTGAACCGCCAGCTCGGCGCTGGCGTAGATGGTGCCGTGCTTATTCTCCGCCACACACTGGTACATGCCTGAGTCCTCCAGGTTCAGCTTGGAAAACCGCAGGTCCCCGGCCGACACCTCCACCCGGTTCTGTGCAGGAGAGTCAGGCCCAGGGCAGGGCAGGGGGGTCAGGACCGCTGGAGGCCCTGGGAGGAGGGGTCGGCAGGGGTGGGCATGGTGGAGGCTGACAGGTCCCTGAGGATGTGGCTTGTATGTCCAGTCCTACCTCTGGGCCACCTGGACTCTCAGTACCCAGCCCTCCTTAAAGTCCAGGTAAGAGGTGACCCACTCAGGACCTCACCATTTTGGGGGGCTGAGTTGTGCCTGGACCCAGGTCTCTGGGGCTCTATTCATTGGACTAGCCTGTGACCATGTGACTCTGGGATGGGAAGAAGCACCTAGGATCAACCTCTCTCATCCCTATTAGCCCAAAGGGGCCACCAGCGGTGCGAGGGTAACTTGGGGGGCGGGCAGTGAAGGAACCAGGTGAGCAGAGGACGGTGGGATGGTGTGTGGAAGGACGCCCCCATGGCTCCTACCTGGGAGGCCAGAGGCTCCCCATTCCGCAGCCAGCGCACCGTGGGCCGGGGCTTGCCGGCGGCCGCGCAACCCCAACGCAGGTTGGAGCCGATGTCGGCCTCCGTGTCCGAGATCACCTTGAGCCACTCCGGCTGAGCTGTGGGGAGCGAGTAAAGAAAACCTGAGGTGAGCTGGGGGGAGCGTCCCGCTCTTTAAAGGGAATGGAAAATTGAGACTGCAGTACCTGTGTCAGACAGCAGGGGGCGCCACCAGCATTCCAGAGAGAACAGGACGAAGAGAAGACCAGGAGGAAGGGAAGGAGGCCCAAGAAAGTTGACACTTGGTTGTGTCAGTGGCTGTTTTAGCGACTTAAATCACTCAAAGCCTTCCATGTTCTTTCTGCTCCCCCTACCAAAGCTAGGAGCTGGCCACAGCACTAGCCTCTTCTGTTCCCATACCCAGTGCTGTCCTGGGACAAGAAGGCTCAAGCAAGGGGCCTCCCAGCCCCTTCCTGACTTTTGAGTCTGTTTCCTCAGGACAAGAGCAAGGAGGGGAGGGGAAGGAGTCCCGGCTCTGTACCTTGCACAATGACGCGGCCCTGGACGGTGTCACGGCCCTTGGAGTTCTCTGCCTCACACTCATAGGTGCCCTCATCTTCAAAGCTGACGCTGGGGATCTGCAGGGTGGGCTCAGCTGTGGCCCACTGGGGGGACAAGGAGCCGTCCACTTTGCGCCACTTGATCCTGGGCACAGGGCTGGCGGGGGAGACAAAGCCAGCTGGGATTGCCCCTCCTGTGCCCGCGGCTTCTTGTACCCAGACCCTCAGCCCTCCCAAGGTGCTGGGCAGGTAAGTGTGGGGAGAAGGGCAAGGGGACCTGGGTCTGGGATGGAACAGGGGGAGACAGGCCTTTTGGGGTTCCTTTTCCCACTGCCCCTACAGGGCCTCGCCTCTACTTTTCTTTTTTTTCTTTTTTTAGTCAGAGTCTCACTCTGTCACCCAGGCTGGAGTGCAGTAGCACGCTCATGGCCACCGCAGCCTCTACCTGCTAGGGTTAGGCAATCCTTCCACCTCAGCCTTCCAAGTTGCTGGAACCACAGGCAAGCACTACCACACTCGGCTAATTTTTTGATTTGTTGCAGAGATGAGGGCTCATCAAGTTGTCCAGGCTGGCCTCGAACCCTGGGCTCAGGTAATCCTCTCGCCTCGGTCTCCCAAAGTGCTGGGATAACAAGCCTGAGCCACTGTGCCAGGCTGCCTCTACTTTTCAAAGGGACTGTAGTTATTAGTAATTTGCACACTAAAATGGACTGAGGTATCAGTGAGTCTTAAAGAGTTACTGTTACCTTTCCACATGCTTTCCATATGGATTTTCTGGAAGCCTAAAGGCCATCCCGGGTAACCACAAAAGATATTGGAGGGAGGAGTGGACCAAAGGACAGATTACATTTTTTCATTCATTCTGCAAACATTTATTGAGATCTGATTTTTGAATAGACAACTGTTACCATTCCTGGAACACTAAGTACCTCAGCACTTTATATGTTTAACTCATTTACTCCTCATAATACCACTACGAAGTAGGTACTATTATTACCACCATTTACAAATAAAGAAACTGAAGCATACAGAGGTTAGGCTGTTCACCCAAGGTCACCCAGCCAGCAAGTGGTGGAGCTGGGGTTTGAACCTGGTCCAACATTGCGCTACCTGCCTCTAGCCCTGGGTGCTACTCAGGCTGAGCCTGGCATTCCTGGCTGGAGGGCGAAGTGATCCAATATATGGGAGGGCCTGGTGTGTGGATGCCTCACCCAGCAAGTTAGCACCCTGGAAGTGACAGGCGTTGCCCTGTGTGCTCAGTTTTCTGCTAGACCCTGCAAGGGACACCAAGATGACTGAGCACTGTCTCTGCCTGCCCTCACCTGAGGTCACCTGTGCCCCTGAGTGTCTCTGACACAGGGAGCTCCCCTCCCTCTTCTGCCACTCACTTCCCAAAGGCGAAGCACTCCAGGGTGACTTGCTGCCCCACCAGCGCATAGGTCTCTGCTGGGAACCGGGCCTTGATGCTGGGTGCAAAGAGCCGGGTGTCTGGAGAGAGAGAAATTTTACAAATCAAATGCAAATGACTCCAGGCTAGGCGCCTTTGTGCTTGGGATCTCAGCACCTTCCAGAAGACTCTCTTTCCTCTCGAGGCCTGGGGCAAGGGTCTGAGGCCTTAGGCAGAAGGATCCAGGGTCCAGGCCCGGGTTTCTGTGTCCTGTGAGCTGATCTGCACAGTCTTCAAGGGCAGATGCTTTTTTTCAATGCCCACTGACCCTTCCAGCCCCCTCCTCCTGCCACGCCCACAACCCTGACCTTCGGCAGCCAGGTTGAGCTGAGCGAACTTGCTGAAGACACTCTTGGTGGAGAAGTCCATGTGGCTGGTGGCCAGGCAGGAGTAGTTGCCCAGGTCCGAGGCATTGGTCCGGGCAATGTACAGGTTCCCTGTGGTCTGGGACACGAAGTGGCGCCCGTCCGTCGGGATGAAGTTGGGGAACTCGTTGAGGAGCCAGCGGTAGGACAAGCCTAGGATGGGGGAGTTGGAGGAAACCAAGGGTGCTGACTAACAGGGTAACTCTGAGTGGGACCCCAGCATGCTGGTGGGATTCTGCTGGTCCTGTCTTGAGACCTCTCCTTTTATATGCTCGGAACTGGGCCCGAAGGGAGGCCTAGAGGGAAGACCTAGCTTTGTTTCTGCCCTCAGGGAATTCACGTCTGCCAGGAAACACAGCACTCTGGGACCTCCCAGTTAGAAGGCAGAAGCAGAGCACAGAGGCAGAAAATGACAGACCCATGAAGGAAACACAGATCATTTAAAGTTTGGGCCCCAGGGATTGGTGTTTCCAAGAGCCACTCACCACCTTTGGTTCCATCCTTCCTCAGCTATTCTAGAAGACCTTCCTGTGTCCCTGGTCTAACCCTGGCCCAGGGTCCCGACTCACCTGGGTAGTGGGCAGGTGGGTTACAGGGCAACATCACCCCCCAGCCCTCATGGGTTTTCACTGGATCTCGCTCCTCCTTGGAGAATTCCTGCAGAACTGGAGGCAGAGACCCGAGGGTCTCAGGGACCATCCTCCTGGTCTGGGAGCCCCTCCCCACCCCAATGCGTCCTCGCTGCAGCAACTCATTAGGGCATGTCACGTGAGATCAGAAAAGCCCAGCTTCAGGGTGTCCTCTGTCCTTCTGAATACTCTCTCCTAGTCTCTCCCCCCACCAAATGTCTTGGCCCCACCCGCGGGTCTCACAGCCGAAGCGGAGAACAGCCTCCCTGCTGACGACAGTGCCCACTGGGTTGGAGGCCAGGCACTGGTAGACACCGGCATCCTGCGCCTTGGTGGGGCTCATGATGACCAGGTTGCCCCCCACCAGCTGGTGACGGGAGTCTGGCTCCAACTTCATCTCGGTACCATTCATCTTCCACCTGTGGCAAGGGTTGAGGCAGGGGAAGCTTTGAGTCCTGCCTGGTGCCCTCATGGCCATCCAGGATCCCCCACACCCACTGCAGGGGCCTCACCGATAGGTGGCCGGAGGGCTTGCCCGGGCACGGCATGCCAGCAACACCTGCTCCTCCGTGGACTCCTCTGGGAATAGCAGACCGAGGGGCTGTTCTTCAAAGACAGGCCCAAAGGTGACTGGGGATCCCCGGGCTGAGCTCCAAGCTGCAGATAGGGAACAGCACAGAGGCCTCAGGGCCTGGAGCCTGGCCCCTCGGGCCATGCTGCCCAGTAAAACTTCCTGTCATGCCGGGAATGTTCCGTTTTCTGTGTTGTTCAATATGGTAGCACGTGGCTACTAAGCACTTGACATGCAGCTAATATGGCCAAGGAACCAAGGCTTTTATTTTTTATTGCTTTGGTTAATTTAAGTTTGAATCTAATTAGACTGGGCAGGCCCCATCTGGTCATGTTAGTTCAGTCAATCACCTATCCTACACACAGGTATTAAGTGCCTGCTGTATACCTGGTACTGGACTAAAGACTGGCTTGCAAAACTGATTAAGACACAGTCCCTCTTCTTCGAGGAGCCTGCACCCCAGGGAGGGAGACAGGAAACTGACAGTGCAAGATGGCAAATGCCACAAGGGCAGTTTACGTTCAGGGTCCTGGGGCCCTCAGAATGGGAGAAGCTGCCCCCGCTCCAGGGGCTCTCAGGGGAGCCTCACAGAACTGATCTGAAGGGTGTGAGGTGCTTGAGAAGTCACCGGCCAAAAAGATGCAGAGAGGATGTGTGTCCCTAGAGTCTAATGCCCCTTTTGGGGCAGTGTGACCCGGCAGAAAGGACCCAGGTCTGGGCAACTAGCCTGGGCCTCCTATGAGCTATGTGACCTTAGGTAAGTGATAGAACCCTTCCGAGCCTCGATATCTTCACCTGTGACACAGAAAAATATGAATTCACTTCTGAGGGCCTGTGTGGAGATTCAGCCAGAAAAAAATGCTCAGAAGGGTGACCGGCACAGAGAGTGCTCAGCAAATGTCTGCTGGATCCAAGTATGGTATGGAGAGGGACTGGGGGGAGGAGGAAGGTCTTCTGGTGGGTGGATGGTGAGCAGGTTGCTTTGGTGGCAGTTTTACAAAATTTCCGAGTCACAATTCAAGGAATGCCCAGAAAAGGGAGTGACTCGTCCATGGTCACACAGCAAGTCCGTGGTCACACAGAGAGGTGGGGTCGTGTCACATAGCAAGTCTGCGGCACAGACAGGTCTGAATTTGTCGGATGCACGGGTATCACACATGTAAATGGAGCTCTTATGCCCAGCCTGTCCTGGGGCAGACACCTCTCTCTTCATGCCCGGCTGTCCTGTCTCACCAGGGTAGGGATGCAGAGGCACCAATGGGTGGCGCTTCACACCGCCTTTCCACAGGGTGGTGTGGGCTCTGTCTGCTGATTGCTTTGCCACTGTGGTGTCAGAAGAGGGCCAGGCCACCCCTAATTGGCTCCTACCTCTCAATACAGCTGATTTCAGGCCCTCCTTGGTGGGTCGTTGGGGGAGGGATCCCTCTGAACCAATTAATGCCTCCTGTCCGTCATCTAGCCCTCAATCCTCTTCTCGGGGTGGGGGAGATGGCCCCATGCTGCAGCTGAGGCCCAGCCCTGGCCCCCTGGGAGTGGGGGCAGCTGTTAAGCAGCTCTCAGATGAGGTGGGAGGCAGGACTCCCAGAAATGGCCTGGTGCAGGCATCCCTCACACCATTCTCCCTCACTGCCGCCCCAGGCCTCGGAGGTAGAGGCAGCAGGCAGGGACGGCATCGTCTCAACTGGAGAGCCCAGCTTAATCCCAAGTTAATAATGGCATTGGAGGGTAGGGACCTCTGCCCCAGCTGGCACTGCTGGGCGGGTGGCCGAGGAGGGATTGGAAGGTGGCTGGGCTGCTGGAAACTACCTCGTACAATAGCAGCTTCCAAGAACTCTGGGTGGTGGTGGGGCGGGGGGTAGCTGAGTGAACCCAGGGCACACTGATGCTTTCAGACACTTTTTTCCTGAAGAAGCTCTCTCTTCTGTTCTCAGTCATCCACACATCCTCACATTCACCTAAACAGTCATGTAGCACTCTCCACACCTATGACCTCCCCATGCTTTATTTTTTATTTTTTGTTTGTTTTTTTGAGTTGGAGTCTCACTCTGTCGCCCAGACTGGAGTGCAGTGGCCGCTCCCGGCCACCGCAGCCTCGACCTGCTGGGCTCTGGCGATCCTTCCGCCTCAGCCTTCCGAGTAGCCGGAATTACAGGCATGCGCTACCACGCCCGGCTAATTTTTTGATTTATTGTAGAGATGAGGCCTCGCCTGCCCAGGCTGGTCTCGAACCCACGGGCTCAGGCAATCCACTCACCTCAGCCTCCCAAAGGCGCGGGATTACAGGCTGAGCCACCAAGCCTGGCCCCACGCTTTCTTATATGCAATAATCACACACATTCATACACACACACCTTCCAAGTTACTCAAATGGCCGGATACACACATTTATATGAGGGAGGACCCAAAAAAACCTGGAATTTTTTTTGGACGGTGGGTCCCTTGTAGTATAGGTTTCCTTTGCCAGGTAAGTGTTCTAGGAACCCATTGGCATCAGTGTACCAGCTGGTGTTGTGAAAAGCTGCATTCAGCTTCAGTGAAATTTTTTGGGAGATTCTTATTTATTTATATTTTTTGAGTTGGAGTCTCACTCTGTTGCCCAGACTGGAGTGCAGTGGCCGCTCCCGGCCACCGCAGCCTCGACCTGCTGGGCTCCAGTGATCCTTCCGCCTCAGCTTTCCGAGTAGCTGGAACTACAGGCGCGCACTACCACACTCGGCTAGTTTTTATTTATTGTAGAGATGAGGTCTCGCCAAGTTGCCCAGGCGGGTCTTGAACCCATGGGCTCAGGCAATCCACTCACGTCGGCCTCCCAAAGTGCTGGGATTACAGGCTGAGCCACCGAGCCCGGCCTTTTTGGGAGATTCTTTCAACACATTTGCCCATTTCACGATGGGCAATTTACAAGCGCACCTGCTCACACTGCACTGAGTGTTCAGCAGTTTTTGACCCCAAACAGCATGACCCCTGTGCCCCACTCTCCCTATTCACCTGGTCTCACCTTGAGTGACTTTTTTTTTGTTCCTCCAGATGAAAAAAGTCCTCAGAGTGAAATGTTTTAGGGAGAGGTGAAACAAAAAATGGCAGAAGTGGCCGGGCTCAGTGGCTCAGCCTGTAATCCCAGCGCTTTGGGAGATCGAGGTGAGTGGATTGCCTGAGCCCCCAGGTTCGAAACCAGCCCGGGCAACTTGGCGAGACCTTGTCTCTACAATAAATAAAAAATTAGCTGGACGTGGTAGCTCACGCCTGTAGTTCTGGCTACTTGGAAGGCTGAGGCGGAAGGTTCGCTAGAGTCCAGCAGGTCAACACTGGGATGGCCGTGATTATGCCACTGCACACCAGCCTGGGCGATAGAGTGAGACTTTACCTCAAAAAAAAAAAAAAAGGCAGAAACTCTAAAAGACAACAAAACTGACGAGTTCAAAAACTGTTTTGAGCAGTGGGAAAAGCATCTCGATCTGTGTATTACATCAAATGGAGAGTACTTTGAAGGTGACTGAAGTTTGAACATGTAAGAATAAATACACAATCTTTTATGAATAAATTCCGCTTTTTGTGGGGCGTCCTTCCTGGTATGCACCTCTGTTCCTTCCACAAACAGCTACAAATGGCCACACATACCTATTCATCTACATCCACGCATTCATCATAATGATAGGTGCTACTGATGGAGTGCTTACTGTTTATCAGATACCTTGTCCCGTATGTACTTCTCAGAACCTCTTTGCAAGATAGGTACTGCCACTTTCTTATTTTACCAATGTGGAAACTGAGACTTTGAAGGCTTCAGTAATCTGCCCCAGATCACACAACAAGAAGGAGCAGAGCCAAGGATTTAGACTGGGGCCAGCCTTACCCCACTATAGCATTCTTAGCCCTGGGGTCCCAGAATTCTTGATTCAATTTCCCATCAGAACCATCAGAGGCCCTGCTCCATCTCAGAGGCAAGGAATCAGAATCCCTAGGAGTAAGGCCAGGGAATCCCAATGTTAAAAAATGCCTCACAGGCATTCTGAAGGGCAGCTGGGTGTGAGAGCCGAGGTGATGTGCCGTAAGACTTTCTAGACACATTTAACATCTCTCCATGCAAACACTTCACTCAAACCTCCACCCTCTTGAACATCTACATCCACATCCACAGACACACCCTCACACACCCCACACTTTCCTCCACAGCTGCATACACACCCACCCACACATATACCTTCCCACGTTTCTGTGCCGTGGTGCGTGTGCACATACACACACACATTCTTCCAGGCAAAGCCAGCCCTTCCTTGCCATTCTTGTTCCATATCCTCTCTGATTCTCTCCTGATTCCCTGTCCTGGTAACTCTTTCCCCCATACATGGGTGACAGAAATCTTGCAGAGGAAGTGGGTTAGAGAGACGAGAAGGAGAAGGGAAATACTTGACTCCTTCCTTGGACTGGGGTGCAAGGAACCCAAAGCTGTACCCCGGGGGCAGGTCAGCAAGGAAAACCGAGGGCGGAGGCACCTTCCTGGGAGGGATGGGACAGGTGATGGGACTGATTGTCCTGCCTCTCTCTGGAGCTTTGGGAGCTGGCAGACCAGGTTCAGGCCCCTTGGCAACCGCCTTCCTGTGTCTCTGGGTCTGAGGACACCGGAGATTGCCATACTCCTTGCCTCAGATGGCATGGATCCAGCCCTGAGGCATCCATGAGGGAGGGGATGCTGAGGAGAAAGCACCTCCCCTCTGCTTGCTCCTGGCCTGTGCCTCAGAGCTCCCTCTTCAGGGAAATCTGGCTCCCCACCCTGGAAGCTCTTCCCAGTCTGGTGGGCCCTGGGATAAGTAATGAGGCCTTGAGGGCTGAGGGGCTCCCCCTACCCTCCGAGTCAGCCTAGTTTCCCAGCAGCCTCACTAACGTGGCTGCAGGATTGGGAGGCAGTTAGGACAGAATGAGAACGCCTGAAAGTATGCCAGTGGAGTCCTTCCCTGGGGAGACAGAGGACCTAAAATGCACCCGTTGGGGGGATGGGAGGGGTAAGTGTGAGGTGGTTAGAACTCCACAGGGACTGAGCACTCCTCTTTCTGTGGAGATGCTTAGGGGGAAAAGAAACACCTACTGATCTGAACTGGGGGTCAGAGCAGAGGCCAAGCGGTGGGCCCAGCAGCCCCCTCAGAGCGGCAGGTGGCTAGAGCCTCCCTCTCGCCCTGGGACTGGCTGGCTGCCTGGCTCCTCCTGCCTGGCATGCTCCCCAGAGTCCAGCTGGCCTGGGCCTCTCAGCCTGCACTGCCCTCTTCAGCCTCTCCTTCTCCTTCTGCCAGGCTCCCCGTGTCCCTCATCCAAGCTGGGAGCACTCCTGGGAGGGGAAACTGGGCTCCTGTGCCCTGCCTCAGCCCGTCCCAGGTCCTGTTCTATACTCGGTCCACTTGCCAGGATGCAGCATTGTCTTGAGAAACCCTCCTAGAGTTTTGTGAGATTGACTGCAGGACTGGCCACTGTCTCCTCATGTAAGGGGACTAGAGGGCACTGTCCAGGGGGACTTCCTGCCATGATGGAAATGTTCTATAATCTGTACTATTCAATATGGTTATTGAACGCTTGAAACGTGGCTGGTGCACCTGAGGAAACCATTTTAAATACTGAATTGAATCTGAGTTGTAGTTTTTCCACCTGGCTATTGGACAGTGCAGCTTTCTAGGTTATGACTCCAGGCTGGTATTGTAGAGATCTGGTTGTGCTATAATCTTGCTGTGTGACCCAGGGCAAAACACTCACCTTCTCTGGGTCACTCTTCCTTCACCTATAATACAGCAAGGACAGATTCCCTCTCCTCCTAACCTCAAAGAGAAGGCAAGATCCACAAATAGGAACTTTTTAAAGAACGAAATGGCCTCAGAAATCTAGATGCTACAGCAATGCAGCCAATCATTTCTGTAACATCACAGATATAATCATCCCTGCTAGGTTTCAGAGCTGGGATGACCTTCTTACCTGAAGAGGAGACGAGAGCCATGGTGGCCAGCAGCAGCAGGTGTGGCTTCCTCCCCATGGTGGGTGTTCCAGACAGAGGTGGGGATTGGAGGAGAGAAGCCTCAGCTCGGCTTGGGCAGAGTCTGGCTGGAGGCTGAGAAGGACCTAAGGAGGCAGAAGGACCAAGGGCTCTGAGCTGAGCGCCCCTCCCGCTCAGGCACATCTGGGTCAGTAAAGCTTTGACCTCGGGTCTGGGAGCTGCTGGAATTGCCCAAGCACTAATCCTCCCCAGGGTCCCAGAGGAAGGGGCTTGGCTATTACCAAGGAGCTCTTCCTGGGGCTGAGTGCCTCCTGCCGGCCCCCTGGGAGTCTGGCGCAGCCCTGTAGCCCCACACCCCCCGCCTCCAGTCAGCGGGGTGCTGCTTAGGAAGTGAAAGCAACGACTAATTGGGAGGCAAGAACCCACCTGCCCGTCTGGTGATAGATCTTGATGTAGGGTCCAGCAGAGGACAGGGTCCGTGCCTGGGTTGGGGAACCAGTAATATCGTCCAGCAGTTGGGACCGGGGCCCCTCCCCGCCCTGTCTCAGTCTGGCTGGGGGCTAATAATCTCCTCTGGGGGCTGCATCAAGTCTCTCAGGACCAGCCTTGCTTTTCTGGCAGTGAGAAGGGGGTCTCACTGATTTATCCACATAGTGAGCAGTGTCCTCGGTCAGGCACTTAGATACTTTGCATGACAGAGTCATGACCTTGGTCCCATTAGCAATGCTCCCATCTGGATGGGTGAACGGCCTGTCAGGCCTTCTGGGCCGAAAAAGTTAACACAGCTCCCAGAGGAGCCTCCTTCTTGCACAGAGATGAGCACAGGCTTGGTTAAATCCTTCAGATCTGGAGAAACTGTTCCCTGTAGCTGCTGAGAGCAAGTCAGAGGCCAGTCCCCTCAGTCAGAGTTGGGGGGCCTCACCTCGGGAGGTGAAGGCAGGGGCAGGGCAGGGTCATCCTTCAGGTTCACTCCCCATCCCTGGAAGGACTTTTGGCGGTTGGAGGGGAGTATGGTGTCTTAGGGGCCTGCTTTTTGATTATCGTTATTGGAGTGAGCTGGGGTCACTGGGCTTAGAGCTGCCACAGGGGCCAGGTAGTCCAGCCACAGGTTCTGCTTCTCTGCCCTGTCTACTCACTCTGCAGAAACCTAAGAGCAGGTGGAGGGGGCCAGGAGAGGGGAGACGGTCAGGACTGAGGAGAGAGCCTGGCTGGGGGCTCTTCCACTAACTGCCTGCAAGATCCATCCAGTGTGGATCTCAGTGCTCTAGCTCTCCCTCTGCTCCCAGAGGGCAGCGTGGCTGAGGGCCTGGGAATGCTGCTCCCTGGATTGGGAAGGGGTGGAGAAGGACGGCTGCAGAGGACTGAAGACTCCCTTCTGGCCTGTGTGTCATCAGAAAACCAAGACAAGCTCAGGATTCCCGTGTCTCCCTAAACTCTAGTTCCACAGAGAGTTCCCAAATCTTTTTACCCTCCACGCTGAGTACCCCACAGCCTTTTCCTGCTGCCTTAACATCCACAGCTGGCACCTCAAGGACCGGGGATGGGAGTGGGGGTGGGAGATGGTCCCAGGGCCTGTCAGGGAGGGTGTGGGCCAAGAGCTGAGAGTTTGGGTGGGGGCAGTGGGAGCAGATGGCACTTCCTCCCATCCTGAACCCGGCCTCATATCCAACTCCTATCATCAGGAAGGGCACCCAAGTGCCACCTTTCCCCACATACTTGCCCCTCCCTGTCCCTGCCGCTCTCAGGTCCAGACTTGAGCCCAGACATTTGGCACTTCCAGTCCCTCCAGCATGCCCCTAGCATACCTGTCTCTGTTCCCCCGTAATGGGCAAGGGATATTCATCCTTCAAGGCCCTGTCCAAGACTCATCTCAGAGGAATCGCCTAAGATGCCCCCATCTGCACACACTTAGAATTCACTCTGTTTCTGATCACAGCCTTGGTGCCCTGCCTGTGGAGCTGTGCCTGTTTCCATTAGAAAGTTGTGAGCTGCCCCACGGGAGAGATCGTGTTGTGTTCATCTTGGTGTCCACCTGGGCCTAGGAAAGTGCCCGGCACATTATAGGTGTTACTCATGTGTCACATTGAACTGATTGAGGACATCTGTGATTATATGACTCCAGTGAACAGACAATTGGACACACTCACACAGTAGAGCTCAGCACAGATGCTCCTCGACTTACGATGGGGCTATGTCCCAAAAAACCCACTGTAAGTTGGAAATATCCTAAGTTGAAAATTCATTTAATACACCTAACCTACTAAATGTCACAGCTTAGCCTAGCCTACCTTGAATGTGCTCGGAACACTTACATTAGCCTACAGTTGGGCAAAGTCATCTAACAAAGCCTACTTTACAATAAAGTGTTGAATGTTCCATGTAATTTGTTGGATACTGTACTGAAAGTGAAAAGCAAAATGGTTGTATGGATTCTTAGAGTATAATTTCTACTGAATGTGTATAACTTTTGCACCATTGTAAAGATGAAAAATCATGTCAAACCATTGTAAGTCATGGACAGTCTGTCTATACCTGATCGGGCTGACAGGTCTTCAGTGTTCCCTGGGGACAACCCCAAGGCAAACTCACACACACACACACACACACACACACACACACACACACACACACACACACACATCCCTAGGATCAGCAGAGGGTCTGGTCGGGGGAAATTACAGAAGTATGCCCCTGGAAGCTATACAAATGCAGGGAGTTATCCTCAGAATAGGGAGGCATGGGAGCGGTGTGGATCCTTCCAGGATTTGAACAGGGTTGGCAATATTGGTTTCTTCTCTAAGAGCTTTGTGAGCTTGGACAAGTTATTCCCCCTTTTGGAGCCTCAGTTTTCGCAAAGTGGAGTTTATAACAGGCACTTTACAGAGCTGTTTGTGGTGGTGGTGGTGGTGGGGGGGTGGAGTTCAGTACAGTGCCCTGCAGTGGTTTTCATACTGCTGTGAAGCTTTGAGGCTGCTTGAAATTGTTGTAGGGCCACGATGGGGGACTAGGGAGAGAGAGCGGGGCTCCAGACCTCTTCCCCACTTCAGCTCTACTTAGATCTCCTTTATCTGCTGGACTTTCCTATAAAGTTTCCCTTAAACAAAGGGTATCTGGCTACAAAAAGTTGGAAAATCATCCCCTTGGCACTGGTATGCTGCGTCCCGGTGTCTGGCACAGAGAAGGTGCTCAATCATCGTTTGCTCCCTGTCCTCTGTCGGCCTGCCAATCCTGCAAACTCAGTTGGGGGTAGGGTGCTGGCCTGGGGGGGAGCCTGGGCTCCAGGCACTTATCCTGAATGTGCCAGAGCAAGGCAGAGACGGATGACCAGCAGACCTGTGACCTGGGGCTGGAGACTCCGGGTAGACACTTACCTCTGGAGTCTCAGCTGCCACTAGCAGTGCTGATGAGTTGGGTGTCTGCGTGTCTGTGTCCCAGTGTGCATGTGTGTATCTGTCATGTTCATATGTCCCTGTGTATGCACGTATATGTGTCTGTGTATGAGGATGTCTGGTCTTTGTGTGTATGTCTATGTGTGGGTGTGTGCATGCACGCAGGCATGCACACACGTGCTTTTGTGTGTATGTGGAGGAGGGTTGTGAGAACTCAGTCTTGTTTCCCTCTAACCCACCGGGAGGCCTGCACCCTGGATCCTTCACTTTCAGCTCTAGTGGCAGGATGATCTGTTATCTCTATTACCATTGGTAATTATCATGGATAATCCAGTCTCGCTGCTCATCCTAAACTTCGATTTAACCCAGACTTTTACCAGCCATCTCCCCAGCCCAAGGGCCCTGGGTATTCTCTGGAGACCGAGAAGTATAGCTTTAGAGGAGATGTGTGGGGGAGGGGCCGGGATCCAGGAGACCTGGGGTTGCCCTGGGGAGCACCGGAGACTAGTAGGTCTGATCAGATGTATATTGATTCCATTGTGTGCCAAGACCTTAGGTGGATGCGCGCGTGCGCACGCACACACACACACACACACACACACACACACGCACAGTGTGGGCTAAAGGGTGGAGCTGACTGCCTCTCTAATGGTGAGGCAATTGGCATCCTGTCTTGTCCCGCACCCATTTCCACTCCAGTGTTTATTAACCATGTGTGCCAGGCATTGAGCTGAGCACAGGGAGCCCGCCATGAAGACACTGCTTCTATGGAGCTCCCAGGCCCTGGGTGTTGCCTAAACCGTGTTCATGAGTCCACAGATCAGGCACTTCCTGACATCATCTGCCCTATGATGCATTCTAGAAAGCTCAGGCTGGAGGAGGTCTTTTTGTCAGGAGCAAGGATAAAGTGGAGCTATGCCAGGCCCAGAGCTGGCCTCACGAGCCCTGAGGCAGCCAAGCCTCACCCAGACCAGCTGCCCTGGTGCAGGGGTACAGGCACAGGCTGGCACAGGCGGCCACAGGCTGTCACTAATGGAGACTGGTCCTGGGAGGCACCAGCACATAGGGGAATGGACCACTTGGGGGGTTCAAGGACATCAGGGAGAGCTGGCTGAATTGCTGGATCCAGGAAACAAAGGGCCTTGGGTACGGCTGGGGGACAGAGGGCTATAAGCTGAGCTCCAGCACACGACAGGGTCTTCTGGGCTAAGGGCCCTGCATGGGGACAGGCAGAAAATGAAAGATACACTCCCCCCAAAATGCTGCTTGTTGGGATGCCTAACTCCTGGCCTTAAATCTCTCTTCCCCCAATAGTGGAAATTAGAGAGCATTAAGGGATTTGGCCGCTTTCTGATGGATGAAGGTAAGAAAAGGGGCATTTGGAGCCCAGTTGAAGGCAGAGACTAAGTGACTTATTATCGGCCTACAGAGTATTTTAGGAGCCACTCAGGTCCCTATCCTGGTTTCAGGATAGGCAATTGGGTGCTGTCTAGCTAGTATAACCCCAGTATAACTAAAATACACACACACACGCACGTGCGCACACACACACACACGCAAGTTACCACAGTCATTACTTAATTTCTCTAAGCCTCACTCTCGCATCTGCAAAATGGGATGAGAAGGCAGACCCCACTTCACAGGACTGTTGTGAGGTCAGCACTATACTTGGCCCGTAGTGAGGATTGGGAAAAATCAGATCTTGTAAGTGATAAATCTCACAGCCCTCC